CAGGATAGGATCTCACACAAAGACATTAAATGTCTTCTTCAAGCGGATGTCTTACGTAAAATTTGGAAATAACGAAGGTTGCACAGTTAACCTGCTCAAATGTGCTAAAATCTTGCGACAAGAATGTGTTTTCACAAACTCGTTGAAACCGCTCTGACCACACACATGATAATGCAATCGTCATACAGGATTTTGCATATTTACTTCTGACTGGATCGTTTGGAGAAACCGAAGGCGCGTTTCTGGTGTTCTCTGGGGTGAGAAAAACCCGTTTCCGGACCAATACCTCAAACAGACCTAGCTGAACTGTCTTAAGTGGTTTATCTCTTTCAGTTGTCATATTTACCAGCTATCATTGGCTCGTTCTCACTTCTTTATCAGCCAGTCGCATACGTCACTTCGGTAGTTAACCGTCTTTCTTTATCTGCGATAATCTGCACAGAAGATCGCTACTTGCCCAGCTCAGCCCGTATTACGCCAAACAAGTCAAAACTATTTGAAAAAACGCCGTACATCTTGAGACACCGTCGAAACTACGTGGGTGGTTTGCCAGTGTCTGGAACATGTAAGTAACATAGATGAATTCGACTTGTCGCTGGCAGCTTCACCACCGACGACTGAAATGGGTGCGATTTTAGCCAAAAGTGTGATTGAACATTCTGCCAGTTGGTGTGATCTCATATTTCATCAAGTTCCCACAACTGTTAGTTTTCGCCGAACTGCATGTGCCTTTCCCGGAACAGAGAAGAATCAGATACCTTGGCCCAGCAAATTGAAAATACAGTGAATCACTTTAATGGCATTCACTACACCATGTGATATCTCTATGCCAGCATATACGTCTTCACTGATTTTCGCTGACTCTTCAAAATTCACACCATGCTTGCACGTTTTGATTGCAGTTGTTCATGCATTAGTCGGTCTAAAGTGTATTCCCCATGCGTACATTTCATTTCGAAAATGAGGATGGTATTCTGGAGCAGTGTAGCAGTAACACTTGAAGTAAAATCGAGCGAAATGTTTGTTTTCGAAGCCACGCTTTTAAAAAATGATTGTAAGCCTGGTTGCACATGGCCACAACAGGGAAATAGAAGTGAGTAGCTTCCTTTATAAAAATCTACTGCGATATCTCGAATATCGTGTCAACTGAAACATCAGACGGTCTTTGTGCAGTACATTCAGTTGAAGAGCATCATGCGTAGTTACATAAGATGTCACTTACAAGTTTGCTTACCTAACAACCGTATCAGCCGGGCTAAACATATGACTCTCCGGAAGGTCTTAGTTATCTTTTCGGACAAAAGACTTACCAAATGGTGGGATGGAAGTGAACTGAGAGTCGAAGTTGACCGCTTCGTCCAAATGCGAACATGTGGGCTTGAAAGGAGGTGTTGCTCTGCCAGTTAGTAAGTCGTTCCAGTTGACGGTTGCAAAAAACGAATGCTTCTTTAGATCGGCAAATCCATTCGGACCATAGCCTGGACAGTTTTAAAGAGCAGTGTGATTTTCCAGGAAACTTAGAACATGCTGGAGATGCGGAACCTCTTAGGCAAATGACTACCTTGCTACTCGACGGCAGCAAGAAAAGCTTGGATGACATGAGGTTACTCAAATCCAGAGATTAGAACTAAAACTATTGGATTTATGGGAATGAGCTCCACAATTTCTGATCAGTTACCGGCGCCTGGAGACCGACCTATCACGGGCTCAAGATGTGAAGCACTTGTGTGGCCTATAGCAGTTAGAGGAGTTCAACATCAGAACGCGTCTCAAAATCTCAAATAATCAATACTGACAACTTTACGAAAGCACAGTGGGTTGACGGATGCGAAGAGTTTGCAAGTGAAAGCGCCAATGTGTATAAAATATATTACAACACGCAGTGAGGGGATGAGATGCTGCTAGGACAGAAATAAATCAAACTCAAACCTGACCTGTTCAGGATGCAATAGAATGCCTTCCCTGCCTGGCCAGTGCAAACACTGTTTCTCCGTCGTTTGCAATACAGCAAGCGGAGATTTTATTACGTGACGCAGCTTCTTATTCTTTGGAAAGATGCAACCGACCCCAGGAACTAGAAATGCCGCGATTAGCCGGCCATACTCGACCTGATCCCACTGCGGAATAGAAGCCGGTTGATTTCGTAGATCGCGATATAGTATCCACAACTGTTTCTGGTATGTAGTGTATAAGGACTTATGATTCTGTCACAACCGCATAGAAACTTTCAGAATTAACCGAAATCACTCGACTCTCTAATTGCCCCCCAATTGACGTGATCCTTTTTCCAATACAGCTCCTCTTGATTTCAAAACACGAAACTTTTCCATTCTCGACGATTGAACAATACTGCCTTTGACACTTGAAGTGATATCCAAGTTCACCGCGCTCTTTACCTGCTCCCGGAAGTCTTCCGCCTCTTGAAACCACTTTATGTTCTCCAGACAGTATAACAAGTGACTCAAAAGAAACATGTTAACCGTCCCGTTCAGCGAAAACCCTCCAGATTTGCATTGCTTTTTCTTGTTATGCTGAATTTTCGCCTTGTTCCAGCTCCAACGTCAGTGACCAAATTGCTACTCAAAATACCGTGTCGAGCTTCAAAACAATCGAAGTGCTTCTCATAATAAGTAATTAGGCAGGTAAGTTCGTGAGTTAATAAATAAGTAAGCAAGCAAGCAAAAAAATGAATAAGTGAGCAAATGAGGAAGTAGGTACAGGGATAATTAGACAATGTAAGTGAGTGAGTAAGTAAGTAAGTAAGTAAGTAAGTAAGTAAGTAAGTAAGTAAGTAAGTAAGTAAGTAAGTAAGTAAGTAAGTAAGTAAGTAAGTAAGTAAGTAAGTAAGTAAGTAAGTAAGTAAGTAAGTAAGTAAGTAAGTAAGTAAGTAAGTAAGTAAGTAAGTAAGTAAGTAAGTAAGTAAGTAAGTAAGTAAGTAAGTAAGTAAGTAAGTAAGTAAGTAAGTAAGTAAGTAAGTAAGTAAGTAAGTAAGTAAGTAAGTAAGTAAGTAAGTAAGTAAGTAAGTAAGTAAGTAAGTAAGTAAGTAAGTAAGTAAGTAAGTAAGTAAGTAAGTAAGTAAGTAAGTAAGTAAGTAAGTAAGTAAGTAAGTAAGTAAGTAAGTAAGTAAGTAAGTAAGTAAGTAAGTAAGTAAGTAAGTAAGTAAGTAAGTAAGTAAGTAAGTAAGTAAGTAAGTAAGTAAGTAAGTAAGTAAGTAAGTAAGTAAGTAAGTAGTAAGTAAGTAAGTAAGTAAGTAAGTAAATATGTAAGCAAGTGAGGTGGTTCTGATGCAGAATGTTTGTTGACTACCACAATCTAGGGACCTCAAATGGCCCATGGATTAAAGCTGTTGCAACCTTCAGCAATCACTATGAGTTTCGCGGGCACAAGTGTGGCAAACAAGCATCTCGTCATCGCATATTTTGGCAGGTCAAAGTGTGCGATTCCGCGTGGTTAAGAAACTGGAAACCTTTGCCTGACATCTAACCAGAAAGTGCGCTCCTGAAGGATTTCAGAAGAAGCCATTTCGATAACATTAAACCTTTTGTTTCAACATTGATGTCACGTATTCTCCCTCAAAATTCAGACAGCGTTTCCACCAGCAAACGCCAAGCATCCACTGACTGTTCTTTTCGCAATTAATTTCTAACTTGGTTTTTCCGGTAGTATATTTTGTTGAGCCAGATTATGACAATGAGTGGTCGTCCGACGACTCTCTGTATAACATGCAAGCCTTCGTCGTAACTCTCGGCGCATTGTATCACTTTCCACAGACATCCAACGTAACAAGAGCATTAAATGTGATGTCTAGTCGAATCAGGCTGATAGGAGAGAAACAAGTTGACTAAAACCTATGCTCTATTCACCCATTACTTCAGTTAGAATGCTGTCATCTTTGCGGGGAATACTAGTAGCTCAGGTAGCGCAGATGACCATTGGCTCGCTAGCTGAGCTGGGTAGATTAATTGCAAATATTGTGCAACCACTCGTACTGATATCATCAGTGTGTTGTTAGGACAGGCCACAACAATGCGTCTGTAGTCGCGCTGTGGCCAATGTTCACAGTTTCTTTCCATTCCTTAACAATTGGCCGAAATGACTCATGGACTTGGAGCTGAGGTCACAAATTTTGTGCCTTTAGGTGCAAATGACGACCTTGAATTTTGTCTTTCATCAGTAGTTTGGGTACTTCAAAGTCAAAAACATCAAAAGGGCTTAAGGCGGCAGATGAATTGAAGTTATATTCTTCAAGAAGTCGAAGATAGGAAATCACTAGACCACGTGCTCAGGAGTTTTATTGCTAAATATACCAATATTTGATCAGGTCCAAATTAACCTCTCAGCATGAGTGAGTAATCGTCCGCTTAGCACCAGGAAACATTCAAGACCACAGATATTCTACAGGTTCCTACAGCATGCTGATTGAAATAAGCAACGAGATGGAGGTCAGTAGAGATGATCATAGAGAATGGGATTAACTCATCGTTCGGAGCATTGAATTTCGCCCGCACACACTGGATTCTATTATTCATACATACGTTTGTATGTGTCTTGCTTGGTATCTTGCGTGACAGAATCAGTTTGATGGCCGAATCAGTATGGCTCACGTGAGGAAAGGATGGTTTTGTGTGAGATGAGCCATGTAAGTGACAACCTGCTCTCCATAACTGGTACAAAAGCCTGATCTTTGATTGTTACTTCCTGTAATTGATTCTTTGTGCCCTAGATAAAGCTTTCTGTAAACACCTTTATGTCCCGGGTAAGAAGGGCGATCCGTTGAGTACAAAGGACGTTCCTCTTGGTAAACCTGTTCATACTTTATTCACATCCTCGGAGGAAAATAAGGGCATTTTATATGGATGGGTCTTTATTTATCTCACGTTACTAAAGTGAACGTTTTGAGTGAACTGTAGGTGTTGACCAATGTTCCGAAACGCGTGCATCATGATCGGCTTAGATTTATCTACCCTATTATAACCTGCACAAATGCGCATAGTTTGCACTTTTTCACGAACGACAACCAGATCATAACCTCAACCCATGAGAGAGCAAAAATGTTCTGAAATCAGTCACATGCACACAAGAGGAACAAGGCACTTGTGAGTGTCGTTTTGCTGAATGTAAATTTGTTATTCACAGTGACCCAATCACCGGACAAAACTTGGTGATATTGGGATCGTGACAAACGGAACGTAGTACAACCGTGTTTCCAATTATTACAGTTAGCTATCGGAGAACATTCATTTGAGGATACGGACAAGAATTGGAGAGTCACTGGTCGCTTTTGGACAGATTATCTATATCACTAGAACAGAAGACTTACAGAGAGAGTACTCTGCGATAATTCAACATCTTGAAACGTGGTGTGTTATTTTAAATGAGAACACTCAGCTGACGGAATTTCTGGGAGTTTAATCCATAAATCTATCAGTTGGGATATCTTTGCATACTCATACCGTGTGTGTGTGTAGGGGGGGGGGCTGTTCCAAATTGACATTGAAAATATCCTCATCAAAACGCTGTTGACCAAACCATTATCAAAATTAATGATGCGCAATGAAGCGTTGTGACCAGCAAAATGGTTAGGCCCATTAGGAGGATGCTAAACGAAACAAAAACTAAAAACAGTAGCATCGATCCTACGTGCAGCGTAAGGGAACAAAAAACAACTCATCCGTGAGCATAAAAAAGATACATTTATTTGGTGACGGTCACCAGTTTAACAAGGCTCAATCGCTCTTGGGCACTGTTTGAGCTACCATGTATGCTAAACTTGAGTACCAAGCCCGGCATATTAAGCAAACGTTGCAGAGAAACCCGTACACATAAATCCGGCCGTCTGGGAGTGACAGCAAACGTTTTCAGTATAGATTGCTAAATAGGATTAACGAGATGAGTCGTGCTCACAGCCTATGCGTCATGCAGTGGATTAGACTGGCATTCATGTGATTCGCTTTTCTGTGTGATTTGGTGTAATTGCATTTTCGAAAGTTCTGACCTTGAGTTACGCGTTGTTGGAGGTGTCAGTCAGTTTTACTCAATGTGACCTCTACGGCAACCTCGGATAAACTGGTCGAAATGGAAATAACATGAAATTAGGGGGGGACTACCTCACCGATATCATTACTGTTACCACTCATGACTGGTAAGTCCTACTATCTTAGATAGGAAGATATTAGCCCGATTCGGGCCTCAAAAGGAAGCAAACTGTGTTTATGAGCACTTTCTTCAAAGGCAGAACACACAACTTAATCTAGCTCTCGCAACGCCATCTGGTGTTCAATGAAGCGTGTCTGATCGAGGCCAGCCAGAAAGCTTCATGCGAATGGAAACTGATAAGTACGACCGCACGTTCCCCTTTAAGGTGTATCCACTCATCTGTTAAAACTGTCGTTTTCTTCTGCAGGTTGATGCTGTGCGCCATCGTCACAAGTGTTGCTTGCTTTAAATTGTGAGCGGTTGAAGTGTTAATCGCTTCCGAGCTGTGAATTCAAGCCGATTTAACCCAATGGATGAGGGCGATGAACAC